AACATATACATATATAATATATACTTATAATTATTATAATATACTATATATATGGTGGTCACGATTCAGCCAAACCTTTTAGCAAGAGCTCACGAACCTTTTGTTTGAAAGTCAAACGACTAGACACCATCCTGATATCAGGGGGGGTTTTACCTAGAGGGTGTGGGTTCGAAACCTGGCAAGTGCCAGTGTGACTTTTTACGAGTTATATGTACTTTCTATGATTATTTATATACCACTGACATACGGTGAAGATAAACATTGTGAAGAAACCTGAACTTATAATTTATAATTATAAGTTTTAAATCGCCAACCCGCATTGAGCAAGCGTGGTGATTAATGCTCTAACCTTCTCCCTACAAGAAGAGGCCTTTGCTCAGCAGTGGCCACATACAGTGCTCGGCAATGGTGGGATCATAGTCGTTTTTATTTGATGTTAGACTTTTGAAATTTATGTACATATTTTGAATGTTGAATTTGAGTAGGTGTATGTAATAATGCTGTAGTCAGCTAATACTTGAATTTATGGATGTAAGGTTTGCACAGGTAGGCTTTGGATAGTGAAAATTCTAGTAATTAGTAGTAAAGTTAAGTGTTTGTTAGGTACTGCTGTATGAATTTAGGAAGATGAGGAATACGGTAGTTTCCAAATAGTCAAATTCAATACTTTTATCCAAACGTCAAAAACTATACTTTTCTATGAAATTTGTATGAAAAACTGAGCTATGACGTCATAACTTTTTTGCGTCAAATAGCTCACTTATTTCTTAATAATTAGCTCAAAAAAAATCTAAAAATTAGTGTATCGATCGATCGATGAATAAAAGAATAGTTATTTTTCAATATTTTATTGTATTGAAACGTCGAAATAATTTATTTTTGATTTAGGAAACTACCCAATTATTAAAATATTCTATCATCATCATCAGCCGGAAGACGTCCACTGCTGGACAAAGGCCTCCCCCTATGTTACAAATATTCTATACGATGTTCCTAATTTTAAGTTCCAAATAGAAATTATAAATAAATATTAAGCTTGATCACACGTTACAGTAGCTATTTACAATTAGGTACCTATATACTTTCAGATAATATTATGTCTTCCATTAACAAAAATTGTGTCCAGAAAGTATAACTTAACAAATAAAGTACTACTTTGTTAACCACAACCGAATAAAATGAAAATGTATTTCGTAAAACATCAAACAGGAAAAACAAAGTACATGTGCGTGCAAGTCAAACAAAATATTTCAAAGTAACTTCTGAAACACATTCACTATCTTGAGTGACATGCAACGCCATCTATGTTTGAGAGCACGTGACTAGCATACTGATCACCGCCACTAGATGGCAGTACATCGCTAGGTGTCACTCGCGACATATTTATGGCCAAAAAAACAGCGCTCCCGCTTGAAACTGAATCGCTTTTAAATGACTGGGCGAATTTGCGCGCGATCTCACGAATTTGTATGCAGATTTAAGAAGAAAGATGTCTAAGTGTGTTTTCCATTCGTGCAGACGGATTTCGTTATTTATTTTACTTCGAAAAGCTGTTTTTTCAAGACCTGCGTATCGTAGTTTATGTTTTGTGTAAATTAAATTGTTTTATTTTCTTTTTGTTAGTTACTAGAAAATATAAGTAAATCGTTACAATAATCTCTCAGTTTGATTTATAAGCAACAGCCGAATTCTAATCAGAAAATTCGAGAATGAGATGGATATTTAGGTACAAATAGCTAAAGATTTTATTAGTTAAAAGAGGAATAAACGTAACATTTCACTTTTATAATAAGGATATCTAAGCACAAGTCTTTCAGGTTCGTAAATACCTAGTCATCTGACTTAAGCGTTAGTCTGATTATTATTTAATTATATTATGGAAGCCGTCAGTCAGTCAGATTGTGACTCTGATGTATTAGAATGGACTGGGAATAACCGTTACAAATAGTGTTCTATCTGAATTTATGCACTTTAACATTTTAAGTGTTGAGAACTTTCTCTTTGCCTCTTATTGGTATAAAACCTTCAGCATATTAAGCATTTTAATTATTAGGTAAAGCATGAACTCCATTCGTTCGAAGCATAAAAATATTCACACTTTTTCGTATACCTACATCGTAATAAAACCGGATAAATGCAGTTACACAAATAATTTACATTACGAAAGTAGCAATAGCAACGAATTAGAAAGAAGTTTACACATTTGAATGTATTTTAGGAGAAGTCAATTTGTCTAAATCAACCTTAGACCGATAAAAAAGTTAAATACTGTAACAAAAATAATCTAAACCACCATGAACACACTATAAGTAGTTTAATTCTTTTACAAAATTATGTTTTAAACAAACGTAGATCAGGTTCACAAGACGTAGGCAGACTCCTGGTAGGAAAATACACGAATCAAGTCTTTCAGAAGCAGAATCTGAGTAAACTAATCAGTCAAAAGTCGAACAGATTTAATACTTGTTAACTACATGAGCCAACTTCACTACACTGATACCTACGTTGCTTGTCTAAAGTAATTTTGATAACATCGACATGAAATCCAATTTTTATAAATAGGTATTGTTAGTTTTCGCTGCAAACGTATCTTTTGGTACCTACCGGCCTATATTTTTCAACATCAATATATTTACATTTTTATATAATTAACATTGTTTGCTTGTTTCTGTCCACTGCCGACATAAAGCTACCTTCAGAAGCACTCGACTAATCTTCTCATCACAGGTCGTGTAGCACCTTTCGGGTGTTGCAGCCTGCAACTTGCAGGTGAAAGCATAATACTGTAAGAGGAGAAGGAACGGGATGGCTTTAAATCAGTAAGAGTTTGACATTCCCAACAACAAAGGAGTTACGAGTGCGCTGACCTATTGGGGATTTAGGGATTGGGGGAGGGGAAGGATTGGGCCTCCGGTAACCTCACTCACACGGCGAAACACAATGTTGTGGTTGCTTCACACCGATTTTCTGTGAGGCCTTGGTATCACTCCGGCCGAGCCGACCTATTCGTGCCGAAGCATGGCTCTCCCACACTTAATGTTATGTTGATTAACATAAATGTTATTACTAAGGTCACTTACAGAACAATACTTGTATACTTGCATACATAGGTAAGTATATAAGTCTGTGTATATTATTATTAACACATACCTTTGCATCTTGCTAGAGTAGGTAGAAGCTAGCGCCTGATGCATTATTCATCAGTTTCTTTCTCTGGAATGAAGTTCAAATGTAAATATCGTCTCATGTTGAAAGGAGTGGTTGTATGTTTTAAAGAGAGTTCATTGTATGTTTTTTGTTGTTATTAAAAATACAAAATGTCTACTAGGCCACTATACGATATATAGCTGTCCATATTTAGGTACTTTTACCTATAATAAGTTCACAGTTTTCTGCAAACTAATATTATAAATGCAAAAGTAACTCTGTCTGTCTTTTCTTCACGCCTAAACTACTGAACCTATTTGTGTGAAATTTGGTACAAACATAGTTTGGAACTCGAGAAAGGACATACTTAGGATAGTTTCTAAACAAAAACTGCAGGAAGTCACTATTCCACGCGAACGAAATGCTAGTTGCATATAAATTGTTTTTGATTGAGAAGACACTGGCTCCTGTGTAACACAGGTCTCTTTTAGCTCAGGAAATAGGGCTTTCAACATACCTAAGTGTACCTCATTTTTATGCCAATAAAACATTCTTATTATAGCTTTCTATTCTACTAACATTAACTGTTAAGCTTCAGCTAGCTCCACTGTCGAACAGACTGACGGATTCTACAATATCTACATAATACGATACGACCTTCAAAGTATATGTTACTTTGAAGGTCGTGTCGTATTATCTAATGTTGCAATTCTCCTTTAAATCTTCTAATGTTGCAGTGTCCATGGGCGGCATTAACCACCTACCATCAGGTGATCCGATTATGATTACTATTACTTACATAAAAAAATGGGAAGGCTATGCTTAAACACGAATGGGTCGGCTCGACCGGAGTGATACCACGGCCTCACAGAAAACCGAAACAACCACAGCGTTGTAATTCGCCGTGTGAGTGAGGTTACCGGAGATCCCTCACCCTCCCTTTCCCCAAAAGGCCGGCAACGTACTGGTATTTCCTTTGGTGTTGCGTTTGTCAATGGGCGACGCTTACCATCAGGTAATCCGTCTGCTCTTTTGCCGATTTAGGCATCCCATAAAACAGTACTTAATACCTAAAACGGCCATATTACCTACTTAATTAAAAATAATATTGAAGGTACTAGCCACATTATACTGCCATGACTCATGGTAGACAATAACGAGCACTCTCGCTTCCAATGTAAGAAATTCAAATATTTTATTTTGAAATAGGATCGTCAAGCCAGTTTCGAAGACACATAAAACGTTAGTCTATGACAGACATGGGGGTGGCAAAAGTCCGGGCCCCGCCAACGAGGCCTCCCATAAATATCAACCGTCTGAGACATTGTCAACCGGCCACCCTAATTTACGGCTAGTAATTAGGAGTTTGCACTTTGCCAAAACGATTTGCATCGATCGCTACCCTACAAATTTATTGTTATTCTAGAATGTTTGAGATCAAGCTGGATCAGAGCTAATTTATATATTCTCAGTTGATATTAATTTAGTTGAAAGTTTTGTTTTCAATTTCCTAAGTTTTGCTTTACAATTATTATCTTAAAATGATACCAGTAGTGACATCTATACAGTAATCTTCTGAACTAATTGAATGTAACGTCCTACACCGCGTGTCTAAGTTATGACTTAAAGAGTATAGATGTCAGTAGTTAGGTCTTGAAATCCACTTCATCCAAATCTTAAACAATAAAACATCAACTTACGAAATAATATACTTAAAGTAAAAAAAAACCTAAAATGGTCAATTTTGAAAAGCCAAAGGTTTGAAAATGTTTAAGAAAATTAAAATAGAGTATGGAAATTTTTGTGTACAGGACCTATTTGACATAATCTGTGCATAAAAACGTATAGGTACGCCGATTCCCGCACTTTTCAATGTCAAAATAAACCAAAACAAAACTTAATTTTAGTGTTAAAAACTTTGTTTTATCAATTTTATGTTGTCTTAGTGCATTTAAACAATATTTTAATTTTAAAATGGATCCCTATGAGGTAGAATTCATTGGCGAAAACAGAATAATTAGTGTAATACCAAATTTTTCTTACGACAAAATCTACTTGATTTGCGGTGAATTTGGACCATTTCGTGCTGGGCTGCCAATAAATGTGCCTCTATGGCTTGCAATGATGCTGAAACAGAAACAGAAGTGCCGTATAGTACCTCCGGACTGGATGGAATTGGATACTTTGGAAAATATCAAGGAAGAAGAAAAGAGATCTAGGTTAGTTTTATTAGTTTGTTTTGAAACAGTTCTAAATTATTATTATTTTTTCAATATACTTTCGAGGCTAACTTAACTTTGTTAACAGCACCTAAGTATAATGATGTTTGTTTACAACTTAAGCAGTAACAGACCTATGAATTTCTACATTTTTTCAACTGTTTAAGAACTGATTGAAGCGACAGATTTTTGAAAAGTTGTTAATTGTAATTAATACTGCTTTATAACCTATGTATAATTATGTATAACAGGTACTTAAACCAATATCAAGTGCAATATCTCCATTTAATATAATACAATTATATGTAATACATACAATTACAGCTTCTAAATACTGAGTCTAATGTTTCAGATTCTTCACAAAAATGCCTAACGAGCACTACATGGTAGAAGCTAAATTAATCCTCGGTGCAGCCTCAGAAGATGTCCCAAATGCAGCAGAAATTAAAACTATAATCAAAGACATTTGGGACATTCGCATGTCTAAGTTACGGACCTCTATGGACGCACTGATGAAGTCTGGAGGTGGTTATGGTAGGCTGGACCACTTGACTATGATGGAAATTAATTCTGCAAAGCCAATACTACCATCTGCAATGGATTATTTACTTCAAATACAAAAGGTAAGTAAATACAATTTATTCTGCATAACATTGTGTATATTAAATAGACAACTGGTACTGTTAATAATAATTATTCCTTTAAATTTCAGATTTGTCAGATTTTTCTGTTGCCATGATACTCAAAAATAATGTAGAGTACTTAAAAAATAAAACAACATAAGTACAAACCAATGAGAAACTATAATTTTATACATATAAAACCACTTTTTATTAGATATATTATGAGATAAGTCTCATATAATAGAGATGGGTATAATTCATTGTTTAAGTATGTTCATATAACTTGGGAAAAATCCCCTTGGTAGTTGCAAGGTTTCAAACCTGTACCCTGCACCCTTAACCTATGGGCTGCGGCAATATAGATAGAAATATTTGGGACAAAAAACCACATTAAAGGTATTATTATAGCTCAATAGCACTCGCTAGGTTTCAAAACCCCACCCTCATGTATGAGAGTCTTACCCTATAGTCTTTGGCAACATCTTTTTCTTTACTCAATTTATGATTCTCTGTTCCAGAAAGCCCAGCAAAGGTTACAACAGCCGTCTGCTCTCAACACATCAACATTCAGCCAATCAGGAAGCTCTCAGAACACATAGCACTGTGATTACTTTCAAATCTGCAATACTAATCTATGTTTAAACTAAGTTCTTTTACTATAAGTTATTATATTTAACAGATTACTCACACAAATGTTGGATGAGAAACTAGACTAGCCATAACTGTTAGCTAATTATAGTAGGGAGCCCAGGGTGATTTTATAGTAACTCAAGCGTGTTTGGACTTTGATGACTTGGTGATAGAAAGAAGAGAAAAAAAAATCTTGAATGACATTACATACCATTCTCTGTCGGTAGAAGGGGGAATAGCTGATTCTGCATGATTATAACTTCTTAAAAAAATTGTTTACTGTGCCACCTGTAAGTTACTTGTATAAGTTTTCCGTTTTTTTTTTTTTTGTTATTTATGTAAGTTTGTATGTATGTAAACTTTTTGTAGGAATTTAGTAAATAATTTGATTATAGTTACGGTTTTATTTGATTTTGCTTGCTCATTGTTCATCATATTACTTATAAACCCGTTTTTTGTAGATTTTTTGGGCGTGGGAGACAAACATTCAATTTCACATGCACATGACACCCAGACCCGAAATAACAATTTGTGGATAATAAAAAGTTTGTGGAAAATAGCTAGTTGCCCAGCCACCGCACAAACCGTGCAGCCAAAATAAATGTAATAAATAGGTACATTATTAACAAAATAGGTACTATCACTGCCACATACATTACATTTACTATCACAAATGGAACTATATATTATTCACTGCATTCTATAATTTATAGTTTAGATAAAGGAACATTCAATTATTAGAGCTGTGGTTTATTTAGTGAAGTTATCTAAATAGGTTTTTAGTTTAGCACTAACTTGGTGATAGATAATAACGGTTTGTAGTAAGAGTAAATAATAAGACCGGCAACTCGCCTGTGACTACTCTGGTATTGCGGGTGTCCATGAGCGGCTGATCCTTTACCATCCAGTTATTCATATGCTCGTTTGCCTCCTATTCCATAAAAAAATGGTAGATAGTCTATAACAACTTTGTATGTTGTCTTTGTAGATAAAATGTAATGTTATTGCTAATAGCTTCTCCCGCGCAGTTTCAATCGCTGCTCGGGTCCATTTGATCGTAGCGTGATGTTTTATAGCCTATAGCAATTAGGAACATTGTAGCTATCTATAAGTGAAACAATTTTGGAAATCCGACCAGCGGTTCCAAAGATTAGCCCCCTACATACAAACTTACAAATTTTACCTCTTTATAATATGAGTATAGATAAAGATATATAACTACATATGTGCCTACCTACATACAGGTAAATACAGTTTATGTAAACACCTTTATACATTTTTTGACGACGTCAGCGCCATCTACACATTTGGTTTGTATAAGCTCACTTGATTCCGTTTATTTTGCCCCTTAAAGGCTTTGCATACTAGGATTTTCTCCTGTGTCGTGGGTGCACATCACACCTCAGAGAAAAGTTTAAGGAGATCAACATTCTGACCGTACCGAGTCAATTTATTTATGAAAACATTATGTATGTTAGGAAAAACCTACACTTATTTGTAAAGGTATCTGACAAACATGATTATCATACTAGACATAGGAATAGATTGAGTCAGCCTTTATTTAGATTGGCAAAAGTGCATAAGTCATTCCTGGGTTTCTGTGTTAAATGTTATAAGAAAATCCCAGTTGAAATTCAAAATCTAAATGAAAGCAAATTCAAATTATGTATAAAGAAACATTTATGTAAACTAGCATACTACAAACTAAATGATTATATACAAGATAAAAATGCTTGTAGGCTAGCTGGTCCTACTCCACGGGATGTTTAGAGGAATTTTTGATTTTAATTATTAATTTGTACACTATGTTGTTAATTGTTGATGATCTTCTAAGTTTTTGTAAATGTGAGTGCCCTGTAACCTATTATAGTTAAGTAAGACTTGTAGAATATAGGTACTTGTGTCAGCTGGGAGCTGTCATGCTCACTCAGAGGTCTCATTGGCGGTGGCACGGGCACTGGATCGCCCAATTCCCTATAATATGGTTGAGTTGGGCGGTGCTGGTGTACGTGTCATGTTCGTGAACGGGCGCCGCCTATTGGGGACTGGTCAGCTCCAGGCTGTCTAATTATGTTGTCCTTGAGGTTCACTTCTTTTTCGTACTTTTTGCCTGAACATTAGTGTTACATTGTTCTCACATATCAGAACCGACTAAATGATGTAACAAAGAAATGTATTGTAAAACTGATTGAAAAAGAGTAACCATGGAGTTTCTTGCTCGTTCTTCTCCATAGGAATCTACACTTTGGAACGAGCAAATAGCTTCACTAGAGGACAGACGGACAGACTGACACGCTTAATTTTAAAGCTATTGTTATATACTTTTTTCCTTTTTTGCTTGCTTGACGTTCAAAAGTGCCTACTGTGGTCTAATTGAAATAAATGATTTTTGACTTTGACTTTTGACACCCCAGGAACCAAAATTTGTGGATCTCACAGAGTGGTTTGTACAGCCAATTGCTGCAACCGTCCAATCAATAGTCATATTTTTACTGTAGGTATATTTTGTAGGTATCTTGAATTTTATTATGGGAAGGTAATGAAAATCATGTTCAGATTGACAAAATAGTATATTTCCTCTTATCATCTAAGATGGGCCTTTTTCCTTAAAAATCTAGTGTGGCCATTTTTCTATTTATTTTCTTACAATCTAATGTGTCCATGTGTTTCTTAATGTTACAATAATTAACTTAAATCTAAGCTTAATCAGATTTTACTTTATTTTTAATTAGTCTTATAATAGGTACTAAGGTTATAGCGAATAGCCTAGCCATAATCTAAAGATTACCGAAAAGGTACAATTAGCTAGGGTTACCTGTGAGAAAAAATGTAGGTTATTTTTTTTTATATGAAGTGTAGTTTCCTGGATGTATGAAACATCCGAATTATGTTTTAATTTAAATTTTAGTAATATAACCCTTAGCTTAATTGTATTGAAATAAATTAATTACAAAATGGCTTCCAGACTTAAAATAATGTTTTTTACTGGAATGTAATATTACAGTTGAGATAAAATTATTATTTTAATAAAAAAGCGTTTCACAAGAGATCCGAATTAGATAAGAAAATTAGACTTTTTAGTACTTTACCGAACAGTATAAACAACTGTGTTATTTGTTCATTAAAAAAAAATAACTGAAAATCTTTTAGATCGAACTAAAACTAATTTGCGTTACACTGACAGCTAATACATAGAAACACACATAAGACGAAAAACAAAAACTTAAATGTATATCTATAGAGATAAATATAATAATATATATAACTTACATACAGCTTCAGCCGTGTTTTACTTTGATATACTTTGCAAAATGGAAATGTACATAAAACCATATTATTTAAAACGCAAAGTAATCATAACACTTTGGTTTAACTCCAGCTTAACGAAAACATAAGAATTTTTAGATTAAATATCAAATATTTTTTTATAAAAAATTCATCTTTATGTACAAAGCTAGGCGGTATGTACAGAATAGTATATAACATAAAAAAACAAATCATTTTTCATAAAAACAGAGAATATATACAAAGATCTGCCGATATAACATAGCTAGTCTTGTTTCAAAGATTTGGAAATGAAGATAGATAGATAGTTCAGAAATCCAAAGCATTTTTCAAAAAGCCTTCGATAATATTCGCTTAAGGCAAACAAAAATGCGTTTTGGATGTTTTTGGAAATATACTACACACTATTTTTGCAGTCAACTATAAAAACGTGTGTATTTTACAAGGCTTCGATTTTATAAGAATGGCCTGAATTTAGTAACATAATATTTAAATTAAAAAAAAATAACTTAATTATGTGGGTAGTTGGAAAAACTAGTAAATTTCGTACTACCCACTTAAATAGTGTTAGTTATATTAGTGTAGTGCCCAAATTGAACTCAAATATCATTTGATTGTTTACTTGTTAACTAGTAGAAGCTCAAGCGGGAACTTAATAGCCCTATTTGGGTTCATTAGTTCGTTGTTAGTAAGGACCGCTAGAGTGCATTTGAGGCGCTAATGAACTGTCTTCATAACAGAGCAATTATTTTGGCTTTTTTCTACACACTTATTTTGTAATCCCATATATACAAGGCAAAATTATTTGTATACCAAAACTAAATTCTAGGACATTCTACAAAAAAAAACATCTGCAAATTATTGTGTTAATAGATAAACATAGCAGAATATGGCACAGAAATTGGCAAGCAAGAAAACAAGTTTATGAAATATGTACACTATAGCTAAGAAGTTAAGTTACAGAATTCTTTGAAACTAACTTGAGCTTGTTACGTTCTTCTGCCGGCATTGAAACTCAAGAGATCTTTAGTGAAAGGATAACAATTGCGTACGCGCATCCTATAGCTAATATTTACAGAATATGTACAAGTTATTGAACTAAGTATAAAAATAGTATTTACATTTATATCTATGACTTCAAGTTACTTAATTCTAAATAATGACTATACAATACACATTATGTGTTAATAGCTTAAGTTAACTTGGATTCAGACTGAAGTTAGAAGTAAGTTAAATTTAACCCTAAGCTTCATCCTAGTCCTATTACTACTATATCTCTTTCATTGTAATTATAATCAAAATTTGAACATTACAATAATATTGAAGGTACAACTAGATAATTAAACCTTAACGAAAATTACCCGAAACTTTTTGAACCAAAATTGTATGATAGGTTTTCTAATGACCTGACAGAAAATTTTAATCTGGCATGTTTATTTAAATTATAATTGTGTCACATCTGTGGGCTTGTCTATAGAAAATGTACACTAACATTAATACTAAACAGCTACAATCTTACTCGGATCTACTTTAACCCTTAAGAACATAACATCATCCTTGATGAAGTTCCTCTTCTTAAGCATTTCATGGGAAACGAACCTTGGGAACCCAAAGCCTAGTGCATCAGGCTCCTTTGAGGGTCTTTGGAAGTTCTTCCACGTGGGGTCAGGGACGAAGCTTTCCACAATGTTGCAGGCTCTGTCTGGGCTTGAACTCTGGTCAAATAAGGTGAAGGAGACCGTGTGAGCGAAAGGCCAGCGAAGGAGTGCGTCGTACTCTCCTGGAAGGATCTTGATGTACACCGACATGTGGGTAGCTTCACCAGCTCCGTTGCCATTGAGGAATAATGATGCCTGAAATAAAGAACATAAGACTTAATTTACTTCAAAAAGACCTAAACTAAATTAAGGATTTAATGAAAAAATAATATAAGTCTCAACGAAAATAACGCTGCCACCCAAGTCAATCAAAACTATAACAGAAGAAGAAGAAAAGAAAAATGAAATTAATTAACAAATGTCACAGTTACAAAAAGGAACAGCTATGATTTATTACACTCGAAATATTACATTACACACTGAATGAGCAAGTGTCTAATTTAGTCTCCGTGGGGACGCGAGTTTAGTCATCATTGACTCACACGAATATAGCGGCGTGGCTTTGTTTACCAACAAATATGATGCAACAAATACGGCGCTAACGAAAGTTTTTGGATGGTAACACGATTTTCTATATTCCAGTAACATTGAAGATAACCTTGCCAATTAGCATCTCAACTATATTTGCAGTGTCGATTATGAAAAATTTTTACAGATTTTCTGATTGCTAAGTGGCAACGACTTGGGAATTTGGCATGCATTCTAATGTGGGATGAAGTTAGAAATTAGTGAAGCATGAAAGTGGAGCAAACGTATTTTTCTCAAATTCAAACATTTTTGGGAATCATGACTAATGCTTCGGTGGGATTCCGAGGCATACAGCGCTATTATTTTAAGAAAATGGACTTTTCTCTATCATTGAACAACTTCACAGAAAATATTCGTGGTCTCAATGTTTGTTTAAGCTCACCTGTAACTTATATCCGTATTGACTGGTGTAAAACGCAGGGGACACAAGTTCGACACCATCTTTGCACTTTGCCTCGGCCATTTTGGCAGCCCAGTCGCTAATGCGCCATACAAGTGCACCAGAACAGTTGACTGACAATCTAGCTACTGCTGCTCGCAAGGAGTCTAGTTGCCGCGCTTGACGGCTGGCGAGAGCTGACACGAGGGCTAGGTGTTGTTGGCAACTTTCTTCTGTATGTTTTTCTAGAGCTTGTCTTGTGCCCTGTAATGAAAATCAAGATTAAGAATTTGCAGTCTTAAAACTTAAATGGTTTCTGCCATCACGGTTCGGAACTTAGTTTCCTTTATTTGGATAAAGAATATGTTACCTTAAATCTACAGCCAGCATCTCTAAAGGAGCAGGGTAAGGCAGCAGCAGCTGCAGCGGCGGCGTGGTCCCTCAGGTGTGCCGCCAGGTCCGCGCGCGGCACGCCGCTCGCTCCACACCGCTGGGGACACGCCACGGGTGCGCGGGCGCATGACGCTCCGTGAGCCGATACTGTGTCCTGGAGAAACATTGAAGAGATCCTTTAGATTTGGCAATCAAAAAATTATTGAATAAAGCATATGAGTTTTCTTCAAATATTTAAAAATGAATTGCTGTTCGTTAGTCTCGTTAAAACTCAAGAACAGCTTGTCCATTTTGGATGATGGTGGTATAACAATGTTCGTTGAAGTCCAGGGAAGATTTCTTATATTTGAGGCGGTACGAAGTTTGCCAAGTAAGCTATTTTTGGATATTTAGGCATGTTTCTGGTTTTGCACTGATTACTACCATAGTATTTTTGACATGGAGATTTTAGTGAATGACAAGTTAGCTCACCTGTGTATAACTCTGCCCGCAGTGTTTACAAGGCACCAGTCGTTTACTGCAATGTTGTTGGATGTGCTGCTGTGTGTGTCTGCGCTGGACCTTAGCTCCGCACTTGTTTTCACAGTAAACTGGCTCATGACCACAGTTTCCTTGGTGCTCCTGGAAATCGAGTTAAGAATTTGTTAGATGTGACAATTTAACTGAACATTTCAAATAATTGATTGCTAAATCGCTGGAAAAGAGCGATTTCAAACCCGATCTAATTTAAGTCTTTGTCAATTCCGATAACCACGTAATCATTATCATAATCATGGTTTTATATTGTTATTCCTAGGAGAAAAATAGTTCCAAAAATTCTGCCCTTACCTCTAAGGCGCTCCCTGAGAATTCCTTGTGACAGTGCTCACAGTTGGCGCGGCGACGGGGGCAGGTGTAGCGCAAGTGATCTTGCATCAACACGCGCGGGATCATCGCACCGCACTGTGCCGCGCAGAGCACCGCATCGTGCTTGCACGTGTTCAAATGCGCCTGCGCATAATAAAACACATTTTAAAATGGATGTTGAATCGGGTGTAGGGATAAAATAGGTCGCGTTTGATCGTTAAATCTACACTCTGGATTCGTAAGAGGACTAGCTATAAAAATGTTTTTTGTTTTACAGTGTGAATACAATTTTAATTTACAAAAAAACTAAAAACAAACTTTTGTACAAAACTTGTTTATTATTATTACTATGTATTTGTAGCACTAATTACACGGTTAGATATTTATAAAAAATACAAAATATAATATCTACTGCTACTTTTTATTATTTCAAGAATTAAATTACCTATCTAGTAGGTAATTTATTTTTATTTACGCTAACGTTATAAAAACTATCTTGTTCCCGCTAAATGCAGGCAAAAGGAACCCTTTTGAAAAGGAACCAGCGTACCTAGTTGTCATGTAGGTAGGTATGTACTAGAGACTATTGTCGGTTAGATAAAATAAATGTGTCGTGACATGACAGGCGCACTACAACAAGTGATAGATCGATCGAACTATTTACCTACTTAAACTTATCTTAGCTAATATTTAGCTTTCCCACTCACCTTCAATTTGCGTAGTTCATCAGACCATTGGCATCCTTCCTTATGGTGGATACAGTACACCACCGATCCCATAATAGCCTTTTCAGACTCCGGATCTGGATATATCTGAAATAAAAAGAAAAATATTTAAAATCATATTCCAAATAAACACGCGTATGCTCTTATAAACATAAGGACCTTTTTTATCTTAGAAATAATGTATTTCAGCATTTTGCTGTATAGTTTCAACAGAAAACACGACGTCAAAAGCAACGGCTACCGTTGAGACTGATTGAGGCGCTTGCCACGCTCGCATAACGGATTAAATAGGACAACGCGATTAAAAATAAACCACATTTCAAAGAGAATATCAAACGGGCGCAGTATACACACCGTACTCTCGAATATGGAACACATCGTACGGAAATATGCAAAATGGCCGACTGTTTTTCGCGCGTAATTTATTCAAAGTAAAGGCGCGGGTGCGTTCACCGCAAACGACTGATACGTAGTGAATGCGTTCCCGTTTGTACATTTTCGTTATCTTTATGGGTGCAACGAACAGATGGCTCGAGCCACGGACCACCGTTCCCTATGTTTGTACCGCGATAAGCGTGATTTTTCACTTCCCAAACCAGCTGGGTAATGGAATGAGCAAATATAAGCGTTAGATGCCTTTGAACAGGTTACTTTCACATGTCGTAGCTAATTTTTCTATGAAACCGACTCGGCGAAGACTGAAAAACTGGTTTGTTGACTGACGCTGATATAAAATAAGCGATACATTTCGAATGCTAAATATTGTTAGTAAACAAAAGCCAGATTGAATCTCTGCTCAGAAGATGTCGCTAGTCGTCGCACGGATCTTTTAATACGCAACCCGAAATGTAAAGCCAAGTTTCTGCGAAACTTCAAAATACATTGAAAGTTCCTTGTTCATCCTAAACTTTCCTCTGAAGAAAACAGACGGTGGACAGCAATCGTTTCGAAACTGAGAGATCAAAGCTGTTTCATAGTACGTCGAGTTTCTATTTACAAACATTGATGCATGTGGTCATCGGCATGGCTGCTGCGTAACCGTACCACCTTAGCATATTGTATTCAAGTAAAACGAAGTACCTTATCCTATCTATTACCGACACTTAACTATGGGTTTTGTCCCGAAAGGATAAGGATGAGATTCCTGCATCATTTTTAAAGTCCTAGGTGCTCTCGAAGCTGGTGGTGTATAAATTTACAAATATAGAATGTTATTTGTGTCGTATTCTAAAAAGATGGACCGCGATGTGTTGAGCTCTCCCGCATCGCTCAATTATAGAACTCGTTGTATCGTAAACATAGTAGGAACGAAACGTAGCAGGTTGCTGAAGTGACGCGGTGGTTATGATGTTTTGGCGCGGAAACACCTCACAGAAAAAGGATAGAGAGAAAATGAGGATGTAACGCTGCCATTTGTAAAATATCACCAGCCAATGTGACATTAGAGAGCTTAATAATACCTATTATATGTAGGTTATAGCGTTACTTTAAACATTTTTAAATTTCAAACAATATTTATGACGCTGTAAATCTTACTGTCAAACAACGTTTTGTTTTTTGATACAGACTATCGACTGCTTAAGACATCTAACACTTGTATTTCCTTATTCAGCCTATTTTAACGATGTTTGTACAGTAATATTGGTAGACATTAGGAATGTGATTAATCAGTTATTTGACATAATGCATGCAAATGATTGCCGACAAAAAGGTTACGAAATACTCGGAGATAACAAGAACCTTATTAGGCAACAAGACCTTATCCTCCTACGTGCAATGTTTGTATTAAAACAATTTAATTCGTTTTATAATTAATGTACGCGTGACTCTCAAGGGTATTAATAATAAAATAAAAACATTTAAAGTGAGGTTACGAACATAAGATTTAACGAGCACAGATTTAGTTTATAAAAGCCAATAATCATAAATTCATAACATAGAACATCTACTTTTGGTGTAGGAAGAGGACAGAAATAGATTTTGAATCTTTTTCAGTCATTTAATAAGTCGTGCGTTCTCTATGTATATCGAAGATTTACTATTTCCTAAAAACATTCGTGAATCATCCGCGTAGGTACCTGTCGCACTGAGTTCGCAGATGGCATGCAAATCAACATTGTTATTCTATTTGAAGCAAAGCTAAGCGTGTACTTTTATGAATTACTTAATAATGTTGTCACGTCCCACGATTCTCACGAAGACACTCAACTTTGAGGAAGGTAAGCAACAAGGTTCCATTTATCTTATAAGGCATAAAAACGTTATCTAATTACAAGGTAAAGCGTCATACGCCCACAGTGCAGAGGGTTGCATCACATCTCCCACGCAGACAGACAGACTTGCCTTTACCTTGAACATATCAGACTTAGATTTCTATCAGAAGTTATCGTCAATATTCAGATCCGTTTGATTTGGCAGCCATTTAAATATCGACAGGTTTTTTGCAAATTTCGTGATCAAAAACCGTCGAAAAGTCGGTTTTCGTCCAAATCTTTAGTTCTAATAAGTACATTCATCATTAGCATCGGGCATAACATTGACAAAAATGGTCCAAAAGCTGCCATTAAAACCACAAAAGTTATTTTAGTCAAAACAATTGTATGTACATACGTCACAATTCACTTGACGAACGCGTCCGGCCACGACGCGGGCGACGAGTTGACGTTTCTAATTTGTTACGAGTACCATTCGGGTGATTGTTAACACCAACATTTGCCTCTGTATTATTTGATGTACCAAGGTTTATAAATGTGCCAAAGAAAAGGGGGATAAATGCTATTGAGTTTATTTTAAACTAGTTTTATGGGATACAGTTTAGCACAGATGTTGGCGATAGTCGAAAAAATATTCCGAACGATTCAAAATAAAACTCTGATTGATTTATTTATTTTTATTCGACTGTGACAAATACTTTAAACTCTTAAATAAAAACTCTTGTAGATAAAATATACGTTTCCAAAAATATATCTGAATATTCAAAAAGAAAAGTCCCTAAACGAACGCACCCATCATCATTTAAAACGGAACGCACCATATAAATTATGGCGCGAACTTAGCTGTCAGTTTGTGTTCTAATTTAGAAAATGGCGGGTGAAGTGGTTCGGAAACCGTTATTTTTTTCTTACTTCAATGTTATTCTTGGTACACTTCTTTGTACAAATTCTTTGACGTTTCTACACTTCTGTTTTCATCAAGTCACACCGTTAGTTGACTGACATCTGACGGTGATGTGATACCAAAATTGGACAAAGTTTTAAAAGTTTCCCCTACGTTTATCACCTTAAAAATAAAGTTCAGTTTCCTCTGTTACTTTTCAATCTACCTTGCTGATACGGTTTTGTGTTCGTTAAGCTATCGACACGCGCTGACGTGGGAATGTAAACATTACACCTAAAATATATCCAGGGATTATTTTCAAGTGTATCCGTAGTAAACTGAACTTGTCGTACCTAAGATCTCGGGACTAAGGTTAAATATGAATACGATATAGATCAAGTTTAACTTTATTCAAAATTTGTGACGTTTTCAACTATTAGCATTTTTACCAGAAACTTTGCCTATTATAACTGTATAATAAAAAAAAAACTAATAATGTTTACTTGTAAAGTAAACGCAATATTTCCTCAGCCTTGCGTGACTACCGATAGTTATTTATTTTCAGTAATCTAAGTTAAATTGCTAAGTTTCTTTGATTTATCAGCTAAGTTGAATGTAGTCATTATTTCTGCCATAACCTTCGCGCCCCGGCTCTTTTGTACCGTTTCTGGGCAATAAAATTAGCTAAAATTTCCAATATCATTCATATAAAACCTTGTAAGAGTACATCGTTAAGATATAAAAGAGAATTAACCCATTTTACGAGGTGAAATCCAAAGCGGTTATTGACAATTTGGGTGCATAATAATACCGCGAAATTATGCATTAAGGTATATACGTGTGTAATCAATATGTACCATCTTAAATCACTTTAAAATTAACGGAAACATTGCGGTAATTTCTTTCATAAAACAAGCGTCCGTAACAACGCAACTCAATATTCATAAGAGCATGGTATTACAAAATTTAAATAATAAGTCTCGATGGTTATCATCGGTGCGCGCGCGCAGCGGAAGCGAGTTCGACGCCCGGCAGCGGAACATTACCGTGGAATATGTAATGATGTCTAATTAAACGTTATGTAATGGACAATGTGTGATTTCTGTCATTGTTTTGTCTCGATACTAAATTGTAATTTAATGGAGGAGATCATTGCAATAAGGCTAATGCGGAACATGAAGTTTATTAGGACAAAACAGTAGTAGTGGATAAAAAGTTTAAACAAATGAAAATAGAAATCAATAACGTTATAAACAATCTAGATAACAAACTCAATGCTTTTGAAGTTTACAATTTTATGGATAAAAAATCACTGCTTATTATTTTTTACGTCCAGAATGTTGTACACGATGTAAACAATGATATGTCTTCAATTATAAAAATAATGAACAAGAATGCTTCACATTTCTTATCTACAAATCAATTGCGTGATCATACTTACACGTCGGAAGAAGATGTGAGGTATAACGGACTCTATCAGAAACAATGTAGGTAATGTAATTGTGCCTATTGTATTAGATACTCCGTAAGTCCGTAGTTTCCTTCTAATGATTGTTATCTCAGAAAAATGCGTGCGTTCACATGAACACGTAAGTATAATTGTACACAGCTATGAAATGAGTAATGTTTATGAAAATTAATAATCTACTATCTTTCACTTAAAGTATGTTTTAATCACCAATCTTGGAAATGGTCTTAAATGTAGTAATTTTTACTTTCTTAGTAATATGGGATCGCTATATATCGAAGCTTTCACAAAAACAATATTATCATCACACTTTTGATTTTTTAAACAAGTATGTATTTTGCACTGCTGATAATTCAAGTTTGTTTGAAAGTTTGTCGTACATATTAATTTCATCATGTTCTATGTCGTTCATTTCTTTTTTTGCATTGTCGTATCGTTTGGCGAATCATTGATATCTGCATGTATTTTTATTTCAGAAAGTCTTCGCTTAATACCTACCTAGTTCAAAAGTAGATAGCCTATG